TAAAATGATCTTATCAAACAAGACTATTGTCTTTTCGGTACTGATATATTTTTATTTCAAGGTAGTTCAAAAAAGATACACAAACCAATGCAAAAGCTAACTACAATAAAAGTATATTCAATGCCATGCGATTTCAGACAAACTAAAAAAGAATGAGATGGAGAATATTTATAATCATAAATTAATTTCATATGCTTTTTATAAATCTAACATATTCTATTAGGAAGAAGAAACAATGAATAACATAATCTATTTATATTAATAATAAGGGCATGTTATTATGGCCGATTGACTTCATTTAACTACATTATCTGGAGTCGATAATGATTGATCTATCGTCGATATCTTTCATTTTTATCCTATCGTTTGTATGAAATTTCTAAAACCAACCACATTTTGATGCACTAATGAGTAAACCAATGTACTGTTGATATCAATTATATGGGTTTAACTGATTTACTATGCGAAGTCATTCATGATATAAATAGGATGCCACTGTTCATTCAATTGAACGCAATCACGATTCTCTCTTGTCAAGCAGAAATGAATAAATATCATGCAAACATTTCTGTATATATCATATCGAAGCGGTTTCGACAAAGTTTAATACTAAAATTATTGATCATTTGAATGACATTGTTAATACTGATAGTGATACTTAGTTATTCTGCTAAGCAACAGACATTTATTTGATGAAACAATTAATAATATATAAACTACTAAGAAAAATTGACAGAGTATAAGTTAATTATAAAATTGTTATAACTTTTGCGATTGGAACTACCTAATAATAGGATTATAATAAATGGAACATTTTCGATAGTAGTATTAATAAGCTATCAATAACCGTTGTGATTGTTGCAGAACTACATGTGGTTGTAGCTGATGTGGTAAAGATGTTTCGGTTTTTTTCGTAAGTAGTCTGTATTTTCTCGCCATTGCAGAAGATGGTACAGACGAAACCATCATGCTGTTGAAGTTTTTAGCGTTAGCTATGAGTGACGTGAAACTATATACTAGGTTTATGAGTAAGTGTGGTACACGTTTTATTTGTATTCATTTATGAATACTACTATTGAAAATGTTCCATTTATTATAATCCAATTATGAGGTAGTTCCAATCGCAAAAGTTATAACAATTTTATAATTAACTTATACTCTGTCAATTTTTCTTAGTAGTTTGTATATTATTAATTGTTTCATCAAATAAATGTCTGTTGCTTAGCAGAAAAACTAAGTATTACTATCAAAATTAACAATGTCATTCAAATGATCAATAATTTTAGTATTAAACTTTGTCGCAACAACTTCGATAAACAGGATAACTTCGTTACGACATATATGTGATATGTACTCATATATTCCCTGTTCAGTATCCGAGTTTGAATGCATATCAATAATAGCAATCATACAATAGACCGAACATTAATGCAACATAGGAAAATCCACTCAATCAATAAAAGTCAAATAAAGATTGTGATTGTTCATGTATTGCCAGACTTTGAAAATACTAATTTCTTGTTTAAGTATCATGTTGAAAAGTACAGAAAGAAAATTTTGTCTCGATGAACAGTAAATTTGTAAAAGTAGAAGAAGGTAGTCACACAAAAAGAAAGTTATTCATCACTAACAATCAGTATGAAAAAATGATTTTTTTTTTTTGTGTAAACAAAGAACAACATTGAAATACAAATGTCTTTTTATGTTATCCTTGAATTGTTTGATTATTATTTTCTATTTGCCATATACGCACAGAACTATCAAATACAATAAAAATTACATTTGAAAATAAAATTTTTAAAACTATCTTACTTCGTCAAATAAAATATAGCCACCTTTATTAGTATCGATTTTATTGAATTCTTGTCTTAAATAACCTTCATCTGAATCATCTTCACCTAATAATGAAAAACCTTTTTTAAATTCACTAAAGCTAATACGATGATCATCATTAGTATCTAGTTCTTCGAATGCTTGACTTAATTTATTATAATAATGAAGAAATTCAACAATCTTTTCAAATTCTTTTAGTTCAACAAAACCATTCTAAAATAAAACAAATTACTTTAGCATCATAATCTATATCATATATTCTCTCCTACTCCGCTTGTATCAGCTGCTTTATATGCTCGCATAATAGCTTTTTTATTTTTTGCAAGTTGAGGATAGTGATGAACGATAGCTCGATCAATTTCTGCTAATGACAAATGACCATTACCGTTGTCAAATTGTTTGAATAACTAGAAAAAAAAAAGAATATTACTCAAAACAATTTTAGCAATAGTCCATACTTTTTTAATTTCTTCTTTGCTCATTTTCGACGACATTGTTATAAAATGATTGAAGATTATTCTTGAATAATTTTATATTACGAATTCTCTTCGTAAAAAAGGTTTGTTCGAGGTCGTAGGGTAACAGTACAACTAAAATGTTAATCAAATAGAAACAGAGCAAATTCTTTTTTCTCTCATCAAATTGTAAAAAAAATGAGAGCCTCTCCAAGGCAACCTGCAGTGTTTGCGAATGAGTAATTCCATCCCAATCTCTTTCTTTTTCTTGTTTCAACAAACTATGAGATTGGTGTATAGGCAGGAAGAAAAAAACTTGACTAATTTTTCTCATAACCTTAAAACAACACGTTGATGTATTTAAGAAAGCAGATAAAAAAAATGTTTTAAGTAATTTAAAAAAAAGCTAGATTGTTCTTTGCTGACGTAAAGAAACATGTAGCGTGAAATTTTGAAGGAAGTAAACGTTATTTTTTTAAAATAATTCTTTATACGCGTCATGTCATGTGTACATGAAGGATTATTTATGAGTAAAAGTGTATAAATAGATATCCTTGATCTATTTTTAAAAATATTTCTATTATAAAAATATAATCAAATTTTCATTAATCACAGAAAATCTACGATATGGAATGATCAATAAGTATTGGGTAATAAGATCATCTATGCATTAAAGTTCGTTAAGGTACAAAATTGGCTTTGACATTTTTATTATCATGTAATATTATAAACAGGATGATTGCAAATAAGTATAAAACAAAACTGGATTCAAATAAGTAAAAGATTACAAAACTAAAAAACTCTTACTGCCGTTGGATTCATCTTAATTTAGTTAGTTCAGTGTACATGTGTCACAGGTAAAATTAAATTTTAGGTAAAAAAACGCTAAGAATGGAAGGTCGTGTAACTGCAAGTTGAGGAGACTAATCATATTCGAATCTAATCAATAATCCCACCACCAAACTAACATAGATGAAATATGAGCTGCATATGATGTATGGAAAATGAGATATTCCATTTTCTCGATATTTCATCGATCATATGGTCACACTACAAAATTGCAATAGCATTTATGTTTCGTTTCTCGTCATAGTGAATAGGGCAAGACGAGCTACATAAGAAAAAACAATATCATGCATATTAATAACCAGTTTTACGAAGTCCAATAAAGCATTATAAATAAATATAAGGGCAATAGCCACAAAATTCTGATTGCTGTAGAATTACTTTTTTGATATGCATAATATTGTTTTTTTTTCTTATGTAGCTTGTCGTGCTCTTGTCACCGTGACGAAAAATGAAAAATAAATGCTATTGCAAATTTGTAGTGGATGTGAGCATGATGAAAGAGACATCCACAGCCTGTTATTATCTTGAACGGTGCCGTAAAAAAAGAACTTTCGAGTCTCCGAAAAAGCGATTGTTTTTTGAAACATTCACTATAGCCTTTTAATTGAGAGTAGCGAAGTTCTCTTCAATAAACATCAGTTTTTTTGATGGCAATAAGTATTAGAAGAACTATAGCCCAATCGATCTTTAATTGCTCATTCTTCAAAATACTTTAGGTGGAAAACAATCCATGGCTAAAAAGTTTCTAGCTACGCCACTGGTACAACTAGAGATGCGCAGATGACAAAACACACCATGGTGCCAAAGGATATAGACGACATGCTCTCTCAGTTCATCGAAATTTACAGTGTTAGAGTGAATACTGAAATATTGCCAATGATTCATCGCTATAGCATCTACTAGCGTACTGATTACATCCACGTTTGGCGCAGTAGTCAAGCATCAACTCTATCAAAATATGCCTTTTTTTTATTGTGGTGTGTTTCAATGCTTTAGTAAGCATTGGTGCAAATGTATCAGTGTACACTAACTAAACGGAGTCGATAAGCAGTAAACTAAAACTGTAAATCTTTAAGTGCAAAATGTATCTTTCCACTCTGCAATTTTTTTTTTCGGTAATAAAACCATCTTTGCTGAAAAACAATGAAAATTTTCTCAATGTTAGAGAATGCACGCCCCACAGTCAGCACATTCCTGTTTCTATCAACTAATCATTTATTAATGTGAATAGTATATGCAGTTAACATAAGTTTTTATTGTAACACGAGACAAGATTTGGTGTGGACGAAAAGTTTGTAAAAGATTAGCTATTTTTGTTTACAATAATCCAGACACAAATTTTTGTTTATATATATCGTAATAATTTTGATAAGTTGATCATATTCCATACTCAAGCTTAATTAACGAAATTTGATACGTCTCTGATGTTTCTTCTTTCTTTTCTAATATAATTTTGTTTAAAAGTATCTATCATCATTTGTTTAATCGCTAGAATACTCATACGATAAGAAGAACATATAACAAAACAACACAAGGTTTGATTTCACAGTTAATATTTAATTTAAAAACGATCAAATAAACTAACAAAAAAAACCAAGAAAATATTGATCGATTATCACGTCAGCACTAATACTGCAATCATATTGACTAGTTATTATTTTTACCGAAATTCTCGATAATAACTGAAAGCATCAGTTCATGCTTTAGGACCAAGTTGACGTATCCGTATATAATGTACTGTCATAAACCAAAGAAATTTATTAAAATTAAGAATTTGTAGCACATTTAAATTCATTCAATAGTTTGAAAAAAACTGAAGTCTTATTTTTTTGGCTGCCCTCTTTGTTCAAATCATTGCTTAACTTAAGCAGTTGCATTAAGTCTTTGTAATTTTTCTTCATTAAGCATTTCTTCTTCACGTATTTTAATATCTTTAACCGTTCTTACAAATACTGCATCTACTTTATGATTACGACCACGATAACGAGTAGTTACAATATTTGCAACACAACATGATCTTTAGAAAAAGTTAGATGATAATCTATGAATAAAATCTAAATAACTTTCCTATATTTTATAATAATGAATGATTGATGAAGAAAAACCTATCCAAATAATTGAACAACTTCTTTTAATTCAAGACGAATAACAGCAACTGTTGTATTAGTATCATATCTTAATTCATTTGAAAATCCTGCAACAGTATTTTTTAAAGCACGGAATACTTCAGAATAATTGCTGTATTTGATTTAATAAAGATACGAAAGTCCTCTGTTTGAAGAAAAACTTTAATCACTTGTCCGTGTACATAATTACGTGAACCAATGATTACTCCGAAAAATAGTCCAGATACAAATTCAGTGGCTATATTCGCATCTATTCCTACATAATAAAATATTTCATGTAAACAAACATTCATAGATGACATTTGTAATGCATATAAAAGAAACAGACATTAGAAAAAGATACAGCCAAATCATTGCTTTTTATGTAGAACTTGATTGCAATACATGTTCGTTCAACAAATTGATGTGCTAAAATAAATAGCAAAATATCAGTATCTCTTATAGTTTCAACTAGATTTGGATAAGCTAGTTGGATAAGATTTGTTTTAAGAATAATTAATCGACGAATCTATAGATGATTTTGTTTCTTGTAATAAAATAAAGCTGACAAGATTAGGCATAAATTGTTGACTTAGTAGATACTTGATATTTTTGTGTTCTTCATTAATATATTTCAGTTAGTTTTCATTCATTAACTATTACGTCTTAAACATACATTAGTATTTTATTCTCAAATGTATTAAATTTAATAATATTATTGCCAATAATTTTCACAACGGTTGAATTCTTATTGCTAATATAGAACAGAATCATTAACATAATAGTTTAAATTTAATGTACACCCATTATCACTATCAACGATAGCAGCACGTTTCCGTGGATCACTTATCTGTAAAAGAAAATTATACTAATCGAAAAATTATAACATAGATACGACTCTTAGATTCTTATTGCTAACAATCTTCTACAAAAATGATATCTATCTTGAACTTAAGCTTCTATTGTTATTAGTGTTTCAGTGGCCTATATGCAATGTACAAGTAAGAGACACCAGAAAATAACAAAAGTTGTTCATGAAAGAATGAAAGTATTGTTTCATTTTAATCACTTCTCTTACATGTACAACATTGTTGTGTAAAATAATTAGTATCATGTACAACTACTAATCTCTATCTTTTATCCAAACATGAGGTAATATTATAAAATACTCTTTAGCCGCTGTTTTAAGTTAATACAATTGACACTGAAAGAGGTAACAAAAGTGTGATAAAAATACTATGTCGATGTCAATGTGTGTGTTGGTCTGTCATAGAAACTAAAGATAAGTACATGTATTTTACAAATATAAAGCTCTCCTGCAATATTTATAATCGAAGGAAATAAATGATGATTACATAGTTGAACAAAACTTACATCTGTTGTGAAATTGATCAGATCTATTTTCAGAAAATTTTGAAAGATCTCCGGTTGCAAATTAGTTATGCTCTAATAATTCAATGATTGAAAAAGAATTGCATATGCTGTTTTATTTTTAGAAATAAACTACTAAAACCAAAACGGATTCTTAACCTGTTAGTACTAAAATGAAAATGAATACGCAGCATTATTTTGTAATATACGTTCATGAGACAAACTCGATGAAATCTTAGATTCGTTTGTTGCATTTCATTCATACTGTTAAAACAGATAGATTCGACGTGAACACCTTTTACCCAAAAGAAAATCGGTGTATGTATGTCAACAATAACTATGACTGCAATAAAAACAAAACAATAAGTAACTTTTGTCAATCCACATGATCTCAAATTGAAAAAATATTTAATACATGCTGCTTATGCCGAATTTGCAGTTTATCACAGCTATTTAGCTTAGAATAAAATTGAACCGTCAAATAATTGTAGAAAATGATCTATTTTTTGCATGTTCAAATGATAGATAGATAAGAAGATATCATTTTCCAAAACCATATATTGATACATCGTTTTGTTGTTACTGAAACGAATTAAAACAATGTAGAATTTATATAGTGTTAATATTGAAGTTTTTCCTTGCGAAGCAACTATCCTAACTGACATCTTCACTTTAAGCTCATATATGATTCACAGGCAGGTCTCAGTGAGATAAGCAAAAGTCTAGAAGTATTCTTCCCCATGTATCTTTGTTGCCGAGCTCTAATCGGTTAAGTAGAATTTCGAATCCTTTGTGGATAGTTCCCAAAAAAATTAAATAAAAGAATTTGAATATAACATTTTGTTTTTGGATGGGTCTAATGGCTCTTAGAATATCCTAGAAGTTTCAGTCAAAAACAAATATGTTCCTTCGTCAGAATATTGAATTTCCAAAACTAGCTTTTTACTACAAATATGTCACAAAAATAGAATTCACTTGAAAATTCAATAACTTGACGAAGGAACATTGTTTTTGACTGAAACCTTCAGCATATTCTAAGAGTCACTAGAAATAACAATAAACGAAACTTTGGACCAAAGCTTCGTTTTTCAGTCTTCCGAGGAGTACCAAAAAATAGATTTAAACAAATCTAGTAGACCAGTTATAACTCGGCGCCGTAGGCCTATTGGAATGAATCCTTTTAGTCTTTTGCTGTTCTCACTAATATCTATCTGTGAGTCTTATGTGAGCTCAAACGGCGGGTGTCACGTAATGTAATTCCTTCGTTAGTTGTTTTTTTTAATGTATTTTTTTAGAACATAACAACATATCTCTCTTTCATTCTAGCGAAATGAAGTATCTTACGTCAAACATTTCTAATATTCCAGCTGTCATTATTCACAAAATTAGTTACACTTGGCGAAATATAAATATGTTTATTTCAAACTAGTCGTAAAATATTTAAACGCATTCGCTCAACGTTAACTTAGCATACATCACCTGCCATTAATATATACTGAATTTAGACAAACAACAGAATAGGTTTTACATTGAATTATCTTCTATTCAACAAATAGGTAGTGAAATTAATTATTTTGATTAGATTTTAGTTTTCCTAAATAATAAACAAGATAATTTTTTGCTAAGTTGTAAATCGTTGACTGCGCTTAAAGTAAAATCTCTCTATCAGAACTATTAAAAAGCGTTCACATATAAAGATGTTCAACTTAGAGAGTTGACGTATGATTTGCTGCGAAACGAAGAAACTATTCCAGAATATCTGTTTTTATCCTAGGTCCTACTTAAAACAACTGGCTATTTATGCTCTTGATCATTTTTTTCGCCTAAATATCTTCAATTGAAAGATTTTTCAGTTAACACACAAAATTTAGTATTTTTTAATATCCTCTGGTTTTATGTGTCTTTCTGCTTTTAAAATAATATCAATATAAATTAAGTCTGATTCTAAATCAGTAATCTATTGAACTTTTCTTGCAAAATAAACTCCTGTGATAATGTCATTCTTTTCTTTAGACATAGAGCAATGGAATTATGCACCAAATGTATATACTCATAATTGATACGAAACAGATCACAAATGATAGAAAGAATTGTAATAAAAACATTATATGAGCATTCACAGTTTAGATGCTACAATAACAAGAGAGACTAAAAGAAATGCTTATTAATCAAAGCTAGGATGTGTTGATGTTGGAGAGAGACATTTCCAGCAAAAATCAATCGATTGGACTTGAGATCGTACATAATTTGGACGTCTTCATTTTAAAAATGTATTTACTAACATTGTGTATCTAATCAGTGACATTCGTGTCAATACATTTAACAGGTATGTTAACAGAACGAGCGAATTGTATGAATCAGCGTTCTTTTTCGCCATCAGCCATGATGGTATTCTTTTTTCAATTGTGCTTGGTGGAAAAAACCAGCTGTCTGGTAGCTCGAGTATGGTGGAAAAAACCAACTGTCTGGTAGCCCGAGTATGGTGGAAAAAACCAACTGTACTAGAAAATATAAAAACAACACAACGCTTTATGCATAGCTTCATTCTCAAGTGGCAAAAGAAGGTGTTTTCATTGCAAGGTAAGACATAATTGTCTTCGATGTGTTTCCCTTTTTTCTCTTCTATTTCTCGGTGTGACTGTTGGCATTCTATCCTCTGACACTCACATCTACATGTTCACTCACAACCACACCCGCATCCATTCCCCATACCCAGAACCTATACTCATCTCCGACACACCCACACCGATACACAGACCCTCTGCTCTACTTCCACTCTCAGCCATACCCACACCCTATCCATACTCAAACCCACGCTCACAGACACACTCATCCCCCACAACTGCAGCTCACACCCTCACACCTATACGTACACCTACAAAGTCACACTCACAGTCATGCACCCACACATATACACTCACACTAATCCAAGATTAGATCAACCGCATTTTCATTAGGTGATTTCGCTGTCTAGATGGCGACGAAAAATTATCAAAAAAATGAAGCTTATAATTATTTCATAAAGCATGAAAAAACTACAGAAGAAATTTCTGCTTTTGTGCAAGGTGTTTCTGGAAATAGCTGTATTATTTTTTTAGTTTTGAAATTATTATATTCTTTCAAAAAACCAAACTTTTTCTCGGAATTATGTATAACTGAAAGAGGAAAGGAATCTAAAACATCACACCATTGAAATTTGAATTAAAGAACTTATTTGAACAACGAGCTTCTTATACCAATTTTAATTTACATTGTATATTGACTTCACAACATCGTTCAAAAAAAAAGAAAAGAAAAAAGTAGTACAACTATTTTTTGTTATAAATTGATTCATTTAATAAAATACCTCTGTAACAAATGAATTTCATCTACGTCTTAAATAATTCGATTAGTATTATATTTTTTATCGTTTTACTTTATGCTTTATATACTAAATAATGATTGATAGGTATTGAATAATTGCTGAAAAACATTTTGTCCCTTGTAAGAAAAATCTTAGTTATTCTCTGCATGATTTGATGTTCCTTTCACGGTTATTCCTGTACTTGTTTGAATTGTAGAATTCCTTGACTTGTCTTGTTTAATTGCAACACATAACTGTAAGAATAACTCGTTATTTATTACTAAAAAACACGTAAGACGACAGTATCCAAAAATAAAAACTCCTAAAAGTATTTTCATTTTTTGTTTGACATAAAATACTAATCAAACATAAAAATGTATTGACCCTATGATCATTCACTATTACAAGCTTACATTAGTCAAATACAAATTGTTCTACGAATATCTTCTAAAAAAACAGACAAGGAAAATATCATTTTATTGTGTTTAATTAATATTAACTTCGTATGCAAAAGAAGCTCTTGCTCGTGGTAAAGAAATAGAGAAGACTTCATTACTAAAAATTCTTTAGACAAATAATACAACGTGACATAATAATTAATCATTAACA